TCTAAAGTGTACTTTGTTTGACGGGAGGATTGTTGAGGATTGTTGGGAATGAGTCCCACGTTCGCTAATTTAGGGAATGATCATGGGTTTATAAATAAGGAAATACATTTTCATTGGAATGAGGCCTTTTGAGAAATCCCAATGCAAAGCCACGAGAGCTTATGCTCAAAGTGGATCCGTGATTCCTAACACAAACCATATAAAGAAGGTTAATCCAAACCCATTCAAGCCAAAGTGAGTATCGTTCGGGCCATACCACCATGGGGAACTGCATTTGTTGCCCATGGAGAAGAAGAAACATTTAGCATGTCACGAAATTAAAAGGTGCTACGGATTGTCCATTGAAGTCATGGTGAATGAGGTGTGGGACATGTTGGAAGATCTGCCGCCCATGAAGCTTCTTAACAAGGTGTATTCTATGTTAAGGTGAGAGAATAACCATGCTCAAATTCACCTCGAAGGTAAGTTGTAAAGGTGTGGAAATCTCTCCCTAGCATGTTTTAAAAATCTTCCGGAATTGTTAGTGGAGGATGACTACTCGCACCTTCTAGATATGTATAGGGTGGGCGGAATTATTGTTTCACAAGGGGAATGAACGGAAACCACTACAAGAAAGGCACTTCACGCACTGCATGTGTATTTTCATCGAAAACAAGGTGTGTTGAGATGAATGGAAACCACTACAAGAAAGGCACTTCACGCACTGCATGTGTATTTTCATCGAAAACAAGGTGTGTTGAGACTCCCATTCACTGTCAAAATGCAATTGAGCTAATCAACTTGGCTTTGATAATCTTGGCTCCTTCAGAATGATATACAATCGGTAGAATAAAGAAAAAACCACAGCCTTTTATCTAAGAGTTTGGTTGTCGACTTGGCCGTTTTAGGACTCATCGATGTCGTTTCGGATTCTCGCAGGAAACTCGTCTTCTCTCTCGACTTTTCCTTTTTGTTTCTTCGTTGCAGGTGGTCGGAGTCGTGTGGGGTGTTGGCTGAAGGGGCAAGGGAGATGTTTGGGGATCCGTGGAGGCGTGTTGCCCGAAAACTCCAACGCATTGCCGTACTATATTTAAAAAATACCAAGTTTTGAAAGTAACACTAATGTCATTTACCTTTATAAAAAAAAAAGTAAATTTTTTTTACCATTAACAATATCTCAGTGATTATCTCCAAATTTCTTAATCTTATCTTGAAAGTTCATAAATATTTTTGAAACTTCATAATAACCATAAGGGTATTTATAAAGTTTTTAAAAAAGTTTAAATGTGTTTTTTTGCAGTTTATAAAAATGTTTAAAACCAAATTTTTTAAAAACATTTTTTTAAATTGTTTTGAAAGTTTAATGATATTTTTTCCGCTGAAACTAAACTTTTTTTCATATTTTAAGGATATTTTTTAGATTTTTTTAAAAATTTAAAATATTTCAATTTATACTTATTTTCATTAATTTTAGGGAATGAGAATAATTAAATTGAGTAAGAAAAAAAAGAGAGAGAGAAAAGGGGAATTTAAATGAGAATAATTAAATTGAGTAAGCAAAGGAAAAGTCGAAAAATTAAATGAGAATAATTAAATTGAGTAAGCAAAGGAAAAAGAGAAATGCGGGAAATTAAATGAGAATAATTAAATTGAGTAAGCAAAGCAAAAAGAGAATTGCTGGAATTTGAATGTGTGATGTCCCACCTTGCTTGGGGAGGAGAACAAACCACTATTTATAAGGGTGTGGAAACCTTTCCCTAGAAGACGCGTTTTAAAGCCTTGAGGGAAAGCCCGAAGAGGGGTGGATTGTGATGTCCCACCTTGGTTGGGGAGAAGAACAAACCACCATTTATAAGGATGTGGAAACCTTCCCCTAACATACGCATTTTAAAGCCTTGGAAAACCCGAAAGGGAAAGCCCAAACATTGGTTGGGGAGAAGTCCCCTAACATACGCGTTTTAAAGCCTTGGAAAACCCGAAAGGGAAAGCCCAAACATTGGTTGGGGAGAAGAACAACCCAAACATTAGTTGGGGAGAAGAACAAACCACCAGCCTGGGGAAACCCGAAAGGGAAGCCCAAACATTGGTTGGGGAGAAGAACAAACCACCATTTATAAGGGTGTGGAAACCTTCCCCTAGCAGATGCATCCAGCCTGGGGAAACCCGAAAGGGAAAGCCCAAACATTGGTTGGGGAGAAGAACAAACCGGGTGTGGAAACCTTCCCCTAGCAGACGCGTCCAGCCTGGGGAAACCCGAAAGGGAAAGCCCAAACATTGGTTGGGGAGAAGAACAAACCACCATTTATAAGGGTGTGGAAACCTTCCCCTAGCAGACGACGCGTTTTAAAGCCTTCAGGGGAAGCCCGAAAGGGAAAGCCCAAAGAGGACAATATCTGCTACCGGTGGAGGGAAAGCCCAAACATTGGTTGGGGAGAAGAACAAACTACCATTTATAAGGGTGTGGAAACCTTCCCTAGCATACGCGTTCTAAAACCTTCAGGGGAAGCCCGAAAGGGAAAGTCCAAAGAGGACAATATCTGCTAGCGGTGGATCTAGATTGTGATGTCTCACATTGGTTGGGGAGAAGGACAAACCACCATTTATAAGGGTGTGGAAACCTTCCCCTAACAGACGCGTTTTAAAGCCTTGAGGGGAAGCCCGAAAGAAAAAGCCCAAAAAGGATAATATCTGCTAGTGGTGGATCTGGTCGTCTCAGAATGAGACAATTCTTGGATGTCAAGCAAAAGAAACTAATTGTCGTTATAAATATTAATCAAATATAATATAGATGGTAAACTATAATTTAATACTAAATTAGTAGGTCATAGGAGTAATGGAGTGGTCACCACCACGGGATAAGGATGCAGGATCGAGATTACCCAAAATCTAAAATCCCATTTGGCAAATCTTCCCGACCATCTTGAAAGCAAAGGCAATAGAGCTTCAATCTATAGAATACTAGAGCATATAAAGAAGGTTAATCCAAACACATTCAAACCGCAGCTGATATCGTTTGGGCCATATCACCACGGGGAGTTCGCTACTTTGAAAAGCGCTGCAAAGATCGTATGATAAACTTGATGATAAATGGAAAACAAAACCAGCCAAATTTTTGGAGCTCATGATCTTGGATGGTTGTTTATTTATGCAAGTTTTGTAGAAACCTTCATCTTTATGGATGTTGTCACTCAAGGATGTAGTGCGAGATATGTTGCTACTTGAGAATCAGCTGCCCATGAAGCTTCTTGATAAGTTATGTTCCATGTTAATGCGAGAGGGAGAGCAAGAGCATAACAAAGTATGTCTTATCTCTACTTAGCTCAAGCTCATTCCTTTTTTGAGCTTTCGTGCTAGGGAGAAATTTTCTTTTTTAAAATCCTTGAGGAGAAGTTCGAGCGGGAAAGCCCAAAGGTGACAATATCTGCTCGCGGTGGACTTGAGTCGTTACACTAATTAGGATGTGGAAATCTCTCCCTAGTAAATGTGTTTAAAAAATATTGAGGAGAAGCTCGAATGGGAAACCGCAAAGAGGATAATATCTACTAGTGGTGGGCTTAAGCAGAAGATCTTTGGTTAATTAAGATTTTTGGTTAATGAGGAGATATTCAGTTGTTGTATGGATTGAAACATGAGGGGCAAAACGTGTAAATGATTAGGGCTACCAAAACTCAGGCGACTCATCGAAGTTCTCGCGAATTCTCTAACGAACTTTTTTTTTTCAACGGTTACATTACCTTGAAAATAAAAGGCAGAAAAATAGAAGAAGAAAAAGAGATGGATTTCAAAACTACTTTGATTTCTAATTAGGCGAAGGTGCTCGTGGGTGGAGTCGAGCAACATTCATTGATCTCTGATCAGCTTTGTTTATGGATTAGCTAATCGTCTTCGAGCTCCCAACTCTATGCAAATAAAAACAAAAAAAACAAAAAATACCCTTAAATTTTAGAAAGCTTCATCCATACCAATTTTTAAAAAAGTTTTAAAATATCCTTGCTATGAATACTGTGTTTAAAAATACCTATAAAATTTTAACAGTAGCATTAACCTCCTTTTACCTTTATAAAAATAAAAATAAATAAAAATAAAGAAGTTTAAAATCTTTTTACCACTAGAAGAAAACTATCTATGGATATTTTTAAAAACCATCTATGAAACGTGGTATTAATAATAAGTGTTGGATGATGAAAGTCCCACGTCGGTTAATTAGGGAATGATCATGGATTTATAAACAAAGAACACTCTTTCAATTGGTGTGACGCCTTTTGGGAAAGCTCAAAGCAAAGCCATGAGAGCATATGCTCAAAGTGGACAATATCATACTATTGTGGAAAGTCTGTTCGTCTAACATGGTATTAGAGCCATGCCTTAAACTTAGTCGTGTCAATCCTTAAAATGTCGAACTACGACTAATTTAGGGAATGATCATGGGTTTATAAACACAAAGTGGACAATATCATACCATTGGGAGGTGTTGGATGATGAAAGTCCCACATCGGCTAATTTAGGAAATGATCATGTGTTTATAAACACAAAGTAGACAATATCATATCATTGTGGAGCGTCGTGTTCGTCTAACAATAAGGATAGTTTTTAAATTTATAAAAAATGTTTCATGGGTATTAACGAAAACTCATGAAGGGTATTTTTTAAACAAAGTGTTAAACTTTATAGAGGTTTATAAACACAAAGTGGACAATATCATATCATTGTGGAGAGTCGTGTTTGTCTAACAATAAAGATATTTTTGAAATTTATAAAAAGTATTTCATGGGTATTAACGAAACTTTTGAAAACTCGTGAACGGTATTTTTTAAAGTTTAAAATATTATAGAAATTTTTGAAGATTTAAGGGTATTTGTATTGAAGTGAGTAAGCAAGAAGAGAATGAGAATAGCTCAATTGAGTGAGCAAAGGTAAAAGAGAAATGCTGGAATTTAAATGAGACACATTCTTAGATGTCAAGCAAAGGAAAGTAAGGGTCTATAAAGGGTAAGTAGTTGTCACCACTCAAGAACATGGATACAATGGTGGAAACGATTATCCAAAATCTGGAATCCCATTTGGCAAATCTTCAATCTATAGAAAGCAAAGGCATTGGAGCTTCAATCTATAGAATACCAGAGCATATAATGAATGTTAATCCAAACGCATTTAAACCGAAGCTGGTATCGTTCGGGCCATATCACCATGGGGAGCTGCATTTGATGCCCATGGAGAAGAAGAAACATGAAGCACTTTGGTACTTTAAAAAGAGCTGCAGAGGATTGACCACTGAAAAGATTGTGAGTGGGCTGTGGAACATGTTGGGAGATCTGCAAGGATCATACGATAAACTTGATGATAAATGGAAAAAAGAACCACTCAAATTTTTGGAGCTCATGATCTTGGATGGTTGTTTAATAATGCATATCTTTTTGGAAGATAAATATTTACTGAAATTTAACAATGTGGATGTACAGCGAGATATGTTGCTGCTTGAGAATCAATTGCCCATGATGCTTCTTGACAAGCTGTATTCCATCTTAAAGCCAGGAAAGAACAAAGTATGTGTATCGCCCACTTTTAGTAGATATTATCCTTCTTAAGCTTTTTTTTCTTTTAACTTTCCTATTAAGGAGAGGTTTTCAATTTGGAGAGGGAACACAACATTTTTTATAAAGGTGTGGAAACCTCTCCCTAGCAAATGCGTTTTAATAACCTTGAGGGGAGGTGCGAAAGAGAAAGCCCAACGAGAACAATATCTACTAGTGGTGGACTTGGGTCGTTACACTAACAAGGGTGTAGAAATCTCTCCCTAGCAAACATGTTTTAAAAATCTTGAAAGAAAGATCGAAAGGAAAAGTCCAAAGAGGATAATATCTGTCAGCGGTAGTGTGGAAATCTCTCCCTAGCTTACATGTTTTAAAAACCTTGAGGGTAAACCTGAAAGGGAAAGCCCAAAACGGACAATATCTGCTAGAGGTGGACTTGTATCGTTACACTAACAAGGGTGTGAAAACCTCTCCTTAGCGGACGTGTTTTAAAAACCTTGAGGGTAAGCCCGAAAGGGAAAGTCCAAAGAGGACAATATCTGCTAATGGTGAACTTGGATCGTTACACTAATAAGGGTGTGGAAACCTCTCCTTAGCAAACGTGTTTTAAAAACCTTGAGGGTAAGCCCGAAAGGGAAAGCCCAAAGAGGATAATATCTGCTAATAGTGGACTTGGATCGTTACACTAATAAGGATGTGGAAACCTCTCCCTAGCAAATGTGCTTTAAAAACCTTGAGAGTAAGCCCGAAAGGGAAAGTCTAAAGAGGATAATATCTGCTAGCGGTGGGCTTGAGCTGTTACACTAGTACTATCTTATTTACTATCTTATTACTTCTAACTAATATAATTATGTTTGATGATTTGAAACACAGTTTGTGATGCATCCACTTAATGTCAAATCGCTTGTTTGGGAATCCGATAGCGTCGGCACCGGTGCAATGGAGAAAGACTACTTGCACCTTCTGGATATGTATAGGTGGGAATTGAATATTAACGTATTGCCTAGATGGAGTAAACTTCAAGTCAGCCACTTGGGAACGAGTCATGAGATTCGGCTAGCCACTCGCTTCCATAAAGCTGGGATCAAACTTGAGAAAGGGTGGAACCTTAGGGCCGTGAGTTTTGATGAAAACAAAGGTATATTGAGCCTCCCGTTCATCGAAATGAATGCTAACATTGAATCAGGCTTATTGAACGCGATGGCATTTGAGAAGCTTTCTGGGATTGATAACATAGTAGGCTCTTTCGTCGTCTTGATGGGTAATCTACTGAAGAAAGGTGAGGTAGATTCATTCAACCAGCTGGCCAAAGGCGAGGTTTTGAGCTTTTTGGACTACTATTCCGTCTACCGTTTAGTGAATGAGCATTGTAAAAGGCCATGGAGAATATGGTGGACGACTCTCAAAGATGTCAACTTTCAAAATCCGTGGACCATTATCTCTACTCTTTCTGCTTCGATCGGTTTTGTGCTCCTTATTCTCCAAACCGTATACGGAATGTATGGCTACTACCTCCCACGTCGATCTTGATCTAACACCACTCATATGCTTTGGTTTCAACCCAGTTTTAATTATTTTGTTTTCTTATCGTATTATTTGTGTGTTTGTGTGGCAATATCCTATCTCTTACGTTATCTTCATGATCTTGAGCTTCAAAAATTTATCTTCTAAACTCCGAAGTTGTCTCCAAAACTTCCCATTTCATTATCTTTCTTGTACTTGAAAAAGCAAAAAAAAAAAAAATCTCAATCACACTATTTTTTCTTCTGTAAGTGGAGAAATAAAAACACTCTAAAACTAAAACACTCTAAAACTGAAGTAATAAAAACTCCATCAAAACTCATTATTTCTTATACAACTCTTGATTTTTCATCAATAAGACTTTTGGTCTTTCGCTTTTCCCATAGCTTTTGAATTTAAAAGTCACCGAAGAAAATAACCTTGAATGTTTATTCAACATACGTACATAAAAAATCTTCCAAAATTACATTCCAAAACAAGATATACGTACAGAGAAAAAAAAAATGTGATAGAATTTGTTGAGACATTGTCTTTAGCATGAACACTAAAAATTGAAAAAGGAGAGGCGTGTGCACTTGTTTGGGAGGTAGTTTTGTAGTGTTAGGACGCTTTATGCAACATTTCAACACTACTCGTCGTGTCTTTGGTTTGAGCATGGTAGCACCTATGCATTGTCTTTAAGAAACAAACGAAACCTTGACCTAAACCACACTCCAAAACCCACATGGCGAGAGGGAGAGAGGAACTTGGACTAGAAGTCGAGGCTCCTACTTTGCCAAGTGGGTTTTGAGGGTCAACCCGATCTAACCCCAAAACTCAATTTGAATGCTCCTAGATCTAACTCTTCATATTAATACATCATTATGATTGACCAATAATAAATCCATCATAACTTGATAGTTATTCTATTTTTGCAATTACTCATCTTTGTGTGTGGAAATTGTACCAAGACTTGTGTGACTTGATAGTCGCATCAATAGTTATGATCACGATTTATGCTCTAAAGTCCTGTAATTAATTAATTAATTTTTAAATAATAATTTTGATTATTTTATTTTAAATTTAATATTATTCACGATATGAAAAAACCAATTTTATTAGTTTGAATAACATGTGGCTGACATCAGAGAAAATCATGTTAAGTAGAAACCTGTAGGGTAACTCACTTTTATAATTGTTACAAAAATCATGTAGGGACATATGAGTGCGGGCACTATATATAGAATGAATTTGTATAAAACTAGACCAAATAATATTAAATCTCTCCTTATAAATTCATTAATTGAAAAAATTAATATTTCATAAGATGATCTTATGTGATTGGGTCTTAATCTTGAGTGAGTCATGAACTTCTGAGTAGATCAGTAGTTCCCTTACGTGTTAGAAACATCATCTTATGAATTTCGGGAACATGACCAAATACGGAGCTAGAAACATCATCTTACAAGATGGAATTCACTCATTTCTCATAACAGGAGTAGATCAGTAGTTCCCTTATGTGTTGATTTCGAGACTTGAACAATGGGGTCGCACCCTCTCATTAGCTCGAGAGTAACTTAGTTTATGGTTGGATCATAAACAAATTGCTTATTAGAGAACCATACTTAAAGGTGAAAAATAAGTAAAACATACTTTTTATCTAGTTGTAATTATGCATAACTCTTGAAAGATTGACTTTGCTACCGTATTTATAAATACAACCTATTGTACCGTGCATAAGAGCATCAATAGGTCTATAGTGGAGTACTTTACGGTTGATGAATGAAAATCTATTCAGAAATAGTTTAATTAATTTTCTATTATGGAAGTTTATAATTTATAGGTTCATAATGTTGAACACAATTGTGGGAAACACTTGCACTCTTTATTAACACAATCGAAAAGAGATTACAAGACAGTCTACAGACAGTGCTGTACTTTGTGTTTTGAATTTTTTTTAGATGAAAACATGGGTGGGTGAAGGGATATTTATTGCAGTCTCAATTTATTTCTAAAATATCAACCATTTATTCTTAAAATTCTTAAATAGTTTTCCTAAAATATTTAGTTATCTTTATTCCTAAAATATCTAAATCATTTTCATAAACTGCACATACAATTGGCTCATACGATTATTGGACTTGATCTTATTGGGCTAGTGATAATATTTTAGTACACCCATCACTAGTCCTCATTCGCTGCACCATGCTGAGCTAATAGTGAAAGCTTTCATATTTGTCAGTATTCAACCCTTTTGGTAAACAAATCTACTACTTGATCATCTGTCTTGATCTGTTACATCTTGATTTCTTCCTTCAGGACTTCCTCTCTAATGAAATGGTAGTACACCTCCCAAAGGGAATAAACTCTTCATCCACGTAGCTCAAGCATTGGGAACCATTTTGATTTTATTAAGAATTAGAAGAAAAGTAATAAATAGAACTCTACTGCAAGACTCCTTGGAGTATTCCAACCATGTAGAAGTTCTTCAACATTATACAAGATCTTCCTTACTATGTCTCGAACACAAGGTCAAGGCTTTTGGGAGACTCTTGAAAGAAAATCTGAAAGGGATTGAGGAGAGTTTCGAAAATTCTATGGAGATATAATTTCATTCTCTAGAGAAAGTGGGAGGGATTCGTATGTTTTGACTCAACCCGAAGGTCCTATTTATAGGACTCTTAGATAATCTTTGTCAAATAATATATTTGTATATTTAATATATTAGAATACAATAACTTATATTTAGATATTATAAGATATTCTATTAATTAATTTGAAACTCTTTTAAATTTTAAATATATTTTTATTTAAGCTATCAAAATTCATTAATTGACTTAAATGTTTGACAGTATCCAATACAATAAATATATATTTCTTTTTTAATATATCTAATATATTAAATATTAATTTGAACCTTTCAAATTAATATATTTTTTTCGATTTATATTTAGAACACTTCAAATTAAATATATTTTCTCTATTTATTTAATATATTAAATATTAATTTGACATTTCAAATTAAATTTATTTTCTCTTTTATATTTAATATATCTAATATATTAAATGTCAATTTGAACCCTCCCAATTTTCTTTCAAATAAATTCAACCTTTTAGCATTACTATGAGCTACCAATGAGATCTTATGAACCTACCGATTATAAGCTCCAATATATCAAATTAATTAATTAAACTCTTTAATAAATCAATTTCCATTCATTAACTATAGGTCACTCTACGGTAGACCTAGAGTTGCACTCTTATGCACTATAGGACAAGTTATGTCCATTGATATAATTATTACAAACAAGTCGATCCTTCACGAGTTGTTCATAATTACAGTTGGATCAAAAGTCCGTTTTACCCCTCTAATTACATCTTTCACCTTAAGTACCACTGAGGATCTAATGAACAATTTGTTTATGATCCATTCATAAACCAAGTCCCTCTCGGGACAATGAGAGGGTGGAGGCCCCATTGTTCAAGTCCCGAAATCAGTACTTAAGAGAATAGCTCATCTACTTCCTTGAGAAGTGAATTCCATCTCATGATACTATGTTCCCAACTCCCTATTTGGTCAAATCCCCAAAATGGTAGACATTAAATCGACTAAAGAGTCATTCTCACCCATGTAAATTAAAGGACAAGCCCTCACAGGTAGAAGTTCATAACTCATTCAGGATTAAGATCGAGTCGCATATGATCATCATGTGAAATATTAATCTTCTCAATTAACGGATTTATAAAGAGAGATTAAATATTTCTTGGTCCAGTCTTATATAAACTCATTATATAGGATACCCCCACTTACATGTCTCCACATGAACAATTTGGATCAAATCATTTGTAACGATTACAAAGTAGGTCGTATCAATAGTGTTACAAGAATAAGGCACCCAACCTTATCCATATACTATAGACTCTTTATGTTATTACTTGAACACAATCCACTTGTATGTCAACCACATATTGTTCAAGATTACATTAATAACCTTGGATTTTCATACCATGGATAACAATTAAATTACAAATAAAATAATAAAAATTATTGTTAAAAACTAAATAATTAATTACTAGGCTTTAGGGCATAAATCCCAACACCTCCACATGCATTTTTCTACACCAGATTTTCTACTAGACGAATCGCAGATTGGTTGTCGCAATGAAATGGTATTAGATAGACAATTTTCTGAGCTGCTCCAGTTACTTTATACTATGCTTTTGTAGTTGACAATGATATTGTTGGTTGTCTTTTGTTGCACCAAGCAATTGTTCCCGAACCAAACTTGTACAGATACCCAGTGGTTGATCTTTGAGTATCGTGTCTCCTACATAGTCAGCATCACAGTATCCAACTAACTTGTAGTCTTTGCTTCTTTTGTACAAAATAACATAATCGATTGTACCTTTGACATATCACCAGATCTGTCGGGCTGCATCCAAATGAGACTTCTTTGGACTTTGCATGTACCGACTCATGACTCCAGCTGCATAAGAAATATTAAGCCGAGTTAAAGTTAGGTAGATAAGAATACCTACTAGTTGCCGGTATTTCGTTTTATCATTCAACTCATTGCCTTCATGTGCACAAATCTTGGCTTTTGTCTCCATCGATGTTGAAACTTGCCTGCACTCCAACATGCTAAACTTCTTAAGCATATCTCTTGTATAATTTTGTCGACAGAGAAAGAATCCTTCATCTGTGCGATCAACTTCTAGACCCAAAAAGTGTTTAAGCTCTTCTAGCTCTTTCTTTTGAAATGGCACTACTAAATTTTCTCTTATTTGATAAATTTCTCTTTCGTCATGCCCAGTGATAATCAAATCGTCCGCATAGACCAACACAATTGTCAATTTTTCTTCTCATTCTTTGATGAATAAGCTTAAGTCTGAATGCGCAACTGAATAACCACATCAATACGTAAAGGATTTTTTAAGCTTACATACATGATTAGGATTAGTTGCACTCTCAAATTCCTTTTGTTGGTTCATATAAATCTCCTTGTCTAACTCTCTATGCAAGAAAGCATTCTTCACATCCATCTGTCATAGTTTTCAATCTTTACTTGTCGCGAATGCTAGCAGGATCCGTACGGTAGTGATCTTTGCCACTAGACTGAATGCTTCATCATAGTCTAGTCCATATTGTTGAAAAAACCCTTAAA